GAAAAGGTGTCAGAGGACTGTCAGGATGTGTCAGTTTCTTTATCACTGACAGTTTCACAACAGTCTGTCATATTTTCACAATGTTGGGGTCATTTACGTGCTTATGACATCATGTATATATTTGTGACCGCAGTAAGGTGTTGGGCAAACCTAGGAATGTTGGGAGTAGAGTGTCAGCACCACACCGTAGAACACTGTCAGCACCTGGTCAAACTTACGTGTTCAAAGATTGCATTATATGATTCTTTAGGGAGACCATTATATATGCTGGCTCTTGTGCTTCAGCTGTATGTATGTCAACTGTTAACCGCAAGTGTCTTATTTTTCTGTATTTCACGGGATAATTGTGTAGTCAGTCTTAAAGGGTATCTGTTTACCTGTCAGACGTCTAAATCAACAAAGCGGCAGCAAGATCGTGTTCTGCTGTATTCTTTGTATAAGCGACCACGACGACCTGAACAGACGTGAACTAAAAAAAAATAATGTTAAATGCTGTTTTTTATATCCTTACTGGGGGTACTGGGGCTTGTACAACCTTTACTGGTACTGGAGCCTGCACAATCTTCACTGGTACTGGAGTCCTGTACATTCTACACTGCAGTATGAGCCAGCACACAGAAAGAGTCAGATTGTCAGGTTTACCCCACGCAGCGCTTACACGGGCGGGCGACGATGCCTACATTGGTCTGATGTAGCAAAAACTTGACTTGAGAGTTTCTAAACACATCTGCCCGCAGCTGGTCCAGATATCTTGTATTGGTACTCCCGCCCTCCCATCCATTCTGTGCTGACGCTGCTGGACCTCGTTACTACTACTCGCAAGGATGACACACCCGTTCTGTAGAAGTTGTCATGATAACCCTGACAAACACATGGTTACATGAGGCTCTTGTTATCTGCGCCACAGTTATCATAGTTAGAGAGGGAAGGTGGATTATATATTTCAACAAATCTGTAATGTGAATTAACTCTTACGATTAACACTGAAATACCAATAAAGAGTTTTAAGTAGAGAGAAAGTTATAGCAGGAAGGAAATAAAGGTTTTAGCGCGGGGTAGCTTCCTCTTACATCACTACACGACCACTTTCACACATCGTCCTCATCATCAGTGTTTTTATCTGCCTCCGGTCGTCTTCACTTGTGCTGGTGACAACATGAACTGGCCAGTGTTTTTTATATTTTTGTAACGAGTACTGTACCCCATAAAACGACCATGGTAACACACACACACACACGCACGCACGCACACTACACACGCACACTACACACACACACACTACACACACACACACACTACACACACACACGCACACTACACACACACATGCACACACACACACACTACACACACACACCACACACCACACACACACACCACACACACACACACACTACACCCACACACACACACACCACACCACACACTACACACACTACACACACACACTACACCCACACACGCACGCACACACACACACACGCGCACGCACACACACACACGCCACACACGCACACCTCACACACTGCACACACACACGCACACACACACACTACACACACACACTACACACACACACACACACACACACACACACACACAGAAACATGACAGATGTAAGACTATTGACCTTTAACATTGTCATTGAACCTGTTATGATGAATCTCTACAGTCGTCAATATTTATGTGTTAGGTGCATCGATTATTATCGTCTGTGGCTGGTGAAGGTCGTTCCCCTCCCTCCCTCCCTTCCCCTACGTCCCCCTCCCCATCTCCCCCCCCCTTACCCGACTTGTCAAAAAGGGTTGGGTCATCCGTGTGTTTTGACGACAGTAATACAATATAAATCGACAAATATTTCGTTAATGGTGATACTTAATATTGTATTATTATATTAGTCGGCCCATAGTAAATAATATATCTAAAAAAAATATTATAACATAAACAACATCAGCATAACTTTATCCGGATATAAATTAAAAGATCTTCCTCGTTTGTATGAAATATATAGGAGTTTGTCATAGCTTCCGCGTCGTCTTTGTTATTATTAGGTATTAAAATTTTGTTTACACGAGTCAGGGTCTGTTTAGACTATCATAGTGTTGAGACTAGCTAGAACTACTCGGTAAAAGCAAATGTTGAGGTCTTCATAGATACACGCGGTTGTAAAGTATGGTGAGATTCTGATACAAACTTACGCCAATATGAAACAAATATTGCAGGTGGTAGTCAGGGGTCAGGTTTGTGTGTGGATGACAATGCTTCTTACCTTTCTTCTCTCCTCTAACAGTGTGGGAAGGTTAAGTTAGGAAGGAGGTGGGTTAGGGCAGGCAGGCAGGAAGGAAGGGTGGGTAGGGAGGGTTTTGACCATGACCTTGAAGCCGAGTACAAGGTCCAGGTGATGGGCGGCCACACCACCATCAGATATGCATACCAGGCCTGGGACACACACACACACACACACACACACACACACACACATTCCTTGCTGTAATAACCCGCTGTAAATTTCTGAACCTGTTATTGACTCTTGTGTCTTGGGTGCGTCTCTCATGCCGAAACTGAAATTTCCGTATTTTGTTTCCTTCATTTTGGTTTAGTTTGTTTATTATTTACTTTTTATTTCCTTTGGAGAAAAATATAGAGAAATGTGGTAGTTTCTTATGCTTGTTTTCTTTTAAGTTCTTCTTGATTATGTGTGAATAATAGAGAGTCGAGGTTGAAGTCGTCTGATGGTTTGGTATCATGGGAGGAAGGGAGACTGGAATAAATTAGAGAGAGAAACTTGTAGAATATCAGGATAAAGAACATGGCAGAAACACTCTATAGAAGCCGATACTTAACCTTAGGGGATAAATAAAGGAAAAATACTGACGTCTTTGTTGCTGTTGTAAATGGTTGTCTCTGGTGCTGCATTAAGTCTGCCTTCCAGATTACTTACTGATATTTTAAACTTATGTTGATAATTTTCACTAATACACAAAGTTTCAGTGATGAAAGAGGTGTTCATTAGTGAGTGTCTCGAGGGGCAGACGAGAGCCGCCGCTGGGAGAGATGCCAGCTTGGGACGCGACCATAGTGTCGACATTGACCCACTAACAAAGAGATGACCCTGGGTGTCACGTGTTTATGTCACAATGTTATTATATTGCGACCTTGATCCTCGAGGTGAGGTGGTTATATATCGCAGCCATCGACCCCCCCCCCTCTTGTATGATAAGCAGTGTTTCCCACACTACATGTCTAGTACATCGTGTGCTGCAACAACCAGTGACAAACGTGGACAATACAGAAAGTGGTGGATCAGTTTTTGTAAACCAGTTACTCTACATTTTGTTCTATTTGGTGGGGAAGGTTTTGCGTGTATCACGCCAAGTAATGCGCCGACCTCCCCGCTCCTTCCGTTGTGACATCTCGTGTGTAGCCACACACCACCTTCTTCTCAAGCATTTTAATGCTTTTTATTTGTTGTGAGCGTTATGTGGGTCAGTGGTGAACGTGAAGGGATTATCTCCCTGCCAGCTAACTAGGTCGGGTCATCTTTTGTTTGCCTATGTCTCTCCAGCAGTAATTAGGGACCTTGAAGTTAAATGATCAATTGATCGTGTTCCAGGTCAATAGTTAGTCAGTGTGGTTGGACATTATGCAACATAGCTCGATAATATAGGGTGTGGTTGATTTTTAGATGGCCGCTTTTATACCTGAGGCAAATAACCACTCAGTAGGGCCTATCATAGTGGGGGTTGGTTGGGGTCAGGGTCGGATTTAGGAGTGGGCAAAGTGGGCATCTGCCCAGGGGCCTCCACATATTACAATATTTTATTTGTTTGTTTATTCATTTGGATTATTTTTATTTTCATTCTTTAAAATTCATGTTTATCTATTCCATCACGTTAAACTATGTTCAGCAAGAAGCGTGATAGAAATTAGGCTAGCTACTCCTTGAAATTCATGAATACCTGGTTTTCCTATGAACCGTATATTTTTAATGAATGCTATTGTTTGTGTTGCTAATAATATATTTAGAATTCCACAAACATATATTGATTAAAAATGAACTACATGGAATAACGAAATTGAGATTAAAAAGCAAAAACAAATAAAATATTTTTTTCATTATCACTTCCATTACCAATGCCATCAGGGCGCTGTGTGTGTTGACACTCGGTCGGAGGGGGTTGGGTCGTGTAGTATCTGTTTAGGCTCACTTCACTCGCCACCCTACTATCTTGGGTAGTTATAATGAGGGGAGCCTCCACAAAGAGGCTGCCCATGGGCCTCCACAGGTCTAAATCCGGCACTGGTTGGGGTGAAGGCGAACCAGACAGCTGCCTACATCCCCAGCCTTCTGATGGTGCAGAAAACTTGAAACCCCAACAAGGACCAAATGACAAGTGATTCAAGGTTATTAAAACTAATGCTGGTTAATTACAGTTTCTGCAGCAAAGTGGTTAGCGGCCCGGTGCACCATACTGCCTTTGTTTGATCCCAGGGCCAGGTGGGCGGCTCCCATAAGTCCTATTAATATTATTATTATGACATTATTACTATTATTTTATTATTATATAATATTATTATTATATATTATTATTATTGTTGTTATAATTATTATTATTGTTACTATTATTATTATTATTAAAGTTTGGCATCATTTAGTTCCTAAGTGACAGTAAACATGTCACCCTATGCCTGTAAATAAAAAAACTTCTGCTAAATATTACACTGCATGAGAATAAGCCCTAAACTTCCTTAGTACCCCTAACTGGTTCCTCAAAGACCTAAGACCGGCTCTGCCCCTCATGTGTTTGGAGCAACTGTCTTTAAAATCTAAGCTCACCAACACACGCCAGTCTAGCCCACAGATGGAACGGAAACACGACTACTGTCTCCTGAAGAACTAAAATCATATTCTCTCTTCTTATAGTTCTAGTTAACACAAACCTAGGTATTTTTTTTTTTGCGTGTTTTACTCCAGATTAATGTTATGTTGTGTGTTTCAGTATATACCCCCGAAGCCTGGGCAGAATGGATGGCGAGCACCGAAGAAAAGCGATGTTATATCGTCCATCCCTCCTCCCAGCTCTGGCCCGACCCCTACCCCCGCACCCTACCCTCTGGGGACGCGGGAACAGAGTCCTCCACTCAACAGTCGTCACCTCAGTCCTACAAGATCTCTAGGACGACACACAAGCCCTCCTTTGCCCTCAGGTAGATCTTCCTCCGGCTTAGACTGTCTTGACCATTTTCTCACCTATTTTATGCAGTTTTAGGATGTTTACTCTCACAAGTCACAATATAATAAAGCACAGGCATAGCAGTTATGATAAATATAGTGTGGCTGTATAGTGTTAAAATGCAGACTTAGTCGTATAGTATGAGAAATAAAGTATTATATTACTGGCAGTTAATAGAGCTATGAATGTTCAAAGTGTCCACAGGCAGACACACGAGCCCCCCACCCATGACGTCGTCACGCCGCACCTCCATTTCCTCGGTGTCGTCCGTGGGGCCGAGGGCAGGCAGCATGTCACTAGGACGCTCGGCTGGCAAGCACTTCTCTAATATGCTAAAATCGGGTAAACGCTCATTACAACATTGTGTTTCATCTTGTTTTCTTGAAGTGATCCTTATTTTTGTGTTGGTGATTTTGTATGTGGGTTGTTACTCGTTGACCTACCATTACCAAATACAGTGAACCCTCACTTTACGCGGTTAATTCAACCCACGGCGGCCCGCGTAAAGTGAGAAACGCTTAAAGTAAACAACATAACATATGGGATTAATTGAAATAGAGACCGGGTCGACTCCCAAACTCCACTTTTTCAGACACAATACCTACGTTGTAGTAAAAATAACTTCTTAATTTTATGATGATATGCACACACAATTAATAATTAAGAGAAATATCAATAATATTAGGTTTTTTAACACTTACATTAGTAGAAAAGATGGCTGGGCATACGGGGATGGGGGGGTTGGTTCCGAGGCAAAGGGCAGATTATTGGCCCTCACCTGTATCACTTGTATCAATTGTATCACTATCCACCACAGAGGCTTGCAGGGCCTCTTTGTCAAACCACTCAAAGTCCATATAAGTCCATATCCTCACTATCATTATCACTATCACTGACTTGGGCCGGCTGTGGTGGGTGACGGGTGAAGAACTCGGTAATGTTTTGATGACTGGGCGACCTTGTGCGCACCCTGCTCGCGCCGCTCTCCGCGTAAAGGGGTACATGCACCGCGGAAAGTGAGCATTCCGGTTTCGCCAGGGTACCGCATAAACGTGGAAACGCGTAATGTGGGAACTCGTAAAGCGAGGGTTGACTGTATTATCATTATTTAATAGAGATAACTTGATACAATTGAGATTCTTACCTATTTGTAATAGGAGAAAAACGTAAGCAGCTTTTGTCTGCAATACAATACCTTGGCTCATACTTTCTTAAAGAAAGGCATAAAATTCTAATTTTCTATGAAAACATCATCATGTGTTCTGAACATAAGTAAACAATCCCTCACTAAACTAAATTAGGTACAGTACAGTATAAACTCTTATTTTAATAAGATTCATGAGTAATGGCTATTTTCAAACCACATTGTCAACATTTACTTTTTACTTTTACTTTACTTTCTTTTATCCTCTTCACCACTGATTGGCTTGTTAGCCGCTTGGGTGATCGGTCACGTCTCTGTTACTTTTCCTTTTCTTTTATCCTCTTCACCAAATGATAGGCTCGTTAGCCGCTTGGGCTATCGGTCACGTCTCTTGTTATGCATTGTTGGCAAGTAGTAGGCATGCACCAGCTCCTGAATGTACCTGAACCCGCTCCAGTGTTGGTCAAGTCTTGTCTTGAAAGAGCTCACACTCGGTGCCGTCACAACACTTTCTGGTAAATTGTTCCAAGAGTTCACAACTCTCACTCCGAAAAAGTTTGCCCTCACAGTTTTCTGGACTTGCGGCTTCTTCAATCTTGAGCTGTGACCCCTTGTGGGGCGAGTGTCCGCCAGCTCCAAGTAAGGACACTCGACTGAGTAGTGCCCCTTGAGATGCTTATACACCTTAATTAGGTCACCCCTTGCCCGTCTGTAGTATAAGCTGGGCAAGTTCAGGCGCTCCAATCTCTCAGGGTAGCTGAGGTGCCGAAGTGCAGGCACCAGTCTGGTGGCCCTCTTTCGAACATTTTCAACCAACCGACAGTTCCTAGCATATCTCGGGGACCAGACGGGGTGACAGTACTCCAGATGGGGAAGCACTTCACTCTTGAAAATCGTTCCGAGGGACGGACCGTTTAGGTATCTGAACGACATTTCTTATAAGACCCAATAATTTATTTGCCTGATTTACCTTCTTCTCGCAATGGCCCGAGAACTTCAGCTCATTGTCAACATACACACCTAGGTCCTTCTTACATTCAGTCTCAAATAGTGCAGTTTCTCATCCCTTTGGGACATATGATACGCCTCCTTACCGTTGGTACACCCCAGGTGCATCCTCTTAGACTTCGTGACATTTTTTTTACTTCTATCATCTTCGCCACTGATCTGCTCATTAGCTGCTTGGGCAGTCAGTCACGTCTCTGTTATGCACTGTTGGCAAGTACTGGGTAAACACATGACATGGTGTCAGGGTATATTTTAGTTAATATAATTACCCATAACAGGTTAATTGGACGTATTTTTAGTTCTCTTTGCATGTGGGTTTAGAACTGATTGTAGAAAATGAAGTACCGTAACTAGTTCGATGACATTTTTTTCACTGGGAATATTTATATTTCAATTACTGATTTTGTATTTAATTTTCTTAAGCTCCCCCTACTGAAGAAGAATCAGGTAAGACAAATGATTGTAAAGTTAAGTTGATCTTGATAATACATCAGCCTTATGGAATATACAGTAATATTTCTTGTATTCATATAATATTAATACAGTATTGTAATGTTGTTATAAGTAATGTAGTATTATATATTTGATCACTGAAACAACCATAAATTTTGTGACATTGCAGTGATGGGGTGCAGCTCAGGTTATGGGTCTTCCTCTGGACATGGGCAGTCATCTGGATACGGGCAGTCTTCTGGTTACGGACAATCATCTGGATACGGGCAGTCATCGGGGCATGGGCAGTCATCGGGGTATGGGCAGTCATCTGGTTACGGGCAGTCATCTGGTTACGGGCAGTCCTCTGGTTACGGGCAGTCATCTGGTTATGGGCAGTCATCCGGGTACGGACAGTCATCTGGATACGGGCAGTCACCTGGATATGGTCTATCTAGGATGCAAGTTGGTCGGTCATCATTCTCCTCTGCTGGAGGCTCACCACTGACCAGACAAAGATCAGTCAGATCTTCTCTTCGCCGCACCTCATCTAATGCTCCCATGGCAAGACATCGTGACCTTGCGTCAGACATGATGGCCAGGTAAACCAACTGGACTGAGAGAGTAGCCAGGCCACCTGATACTTGGGTGAACTTGACTTTGTACAGACATCCCATTTAGATTCCTTTTTCCAGCTTCCCTTTCCAAGAGTTCTCATTATTCATTCATATTTAGCTTCATATTTTGATACGTACTGTACATCTTTAAGCCTGTACAATACCATTCTTTTTCTGCTATTTGTAGTTTTTGTAAAGTTCTCCAGATAGTTTGTACAACTTGTAGTCAACATTATAGCCAATTTACTTATACTGTAAATGATTTATCTTCCTCAGTGTGTGCATCAGTGGCAGTCCTAAACGGGGTGAACCTGAGGGTGACGAGGCTGGTGAAACTTCCCCAGTCTGTTCTTTGTCTCGTCAAGAAAGCTACTCCAAGTAAGTCTCAATAATATTAGAGTCCCCTGTGTTCCATTAACCATTCACTTCAATCTACCTGTGGATGTGTATCACTCAGAAGCTCCATTTATTGTTTATATCATTATTCTGGGAGATTATTTCTATATATTTTTTTCCTCTCACCTATACTGTATCATATAATTCTCATGGTTGGGAATGTTGCCTTCTTTCTGGTATTTTTCGTAGTCTCAGAACATCTTTATCTGTGTTGGGATTTTTTTTCTTTTCAGTTAATAATATTCAAGGAACTTTTTTCTTTCTTGGCAGTTTTGTTCTGAAGATTATTACTGTACTGTTGTTATCATACATGTGATAGTTTTCATGTTATCATATGTCAGTTGTTGTGTTCATTTCCATATTATTGTTCAGGGAATTTTTTTTTCATGCTGTTCAAGTCTCCAGAGACTTCTTCTTTCTGTGGCATTGTTTTTGAGAAGTTGTTTGAAAATTTTTATTAACATTCATTTCATTACTTTGTTGCTTGTATCTCACCATGATGATAATGTAGTGTTTTTGTGTTGTTTTACCTTTTACTTTTACATAGAGAGATAAATAGGTAAAAAATCATTGTATTATCAATAATGCAAGTACTAAAGGGACACCCATTTTATTTTAGTAATCAGTGGTTAAAGAGATGATAAATTTAGAGTAAGATAATAAGAGATTTTGATAGGAGTTCATAGAGTATTATAGCCTGACGACTGAACCCCCCCAAAAATGTATTATCCACTAAGTGACCAGAGTGAACAGTCAGGTTAAACCCAAAGCCTAGACATTATGAGCTGAGATTATTCAGATAATTAGTATTATATCCTTGTTGCAGCCTTAGCCCTTGAGATATGGGCAACAACAGTCATCACTAAGAGGCCTGATTGAGTTGTGGTGTCACTATAGTCATGGTTACCACACCGGACACATTACTCGGTCATAAATGGTCATTGTAGGCTTCAAGTCTCGGTTCCAGGCACTGTTCCAGGCACTGTTCCAAGTTCAACAGGCACCTCCCTACCAGCTACATTTTCTAAAGGACCTAAGTGCATCTTGCCTCACTTTCTTAGGAGTTGAACAGTTGGAGACAGAAAACACAGTCCCAAGTGTTAGTATCATAAGGAAGCAAATTTGTCTTTGTTGTTTTCATGTTGCATAAGTGTAATTCTTCCATTGGTATGACAACCTTTTCTCCCAGGAAATTGGGTTCAAAGGACCACTTGGTTTGATACAGGATAAAATTACCAGAACTAATATTTTAGACGAGAGATGGAGCTTCACTGGGCTTCTGCTCATAGAATATACAAACAGACTTGCACCTGCTCTTTTCATTCAGGGGATCTGGTTTTCAGTTCAAACAAGATTGGTTCATTCAGTGAGAGCAATTGCTTCTTTTTGGTTCAACTGCCCATAAACATTGAGATGTTCCCTCCACCAACAGTGCAACTCCTTGGAGGGACAGCCACTCAGGGCAAATCTTAGGCCTGCTCACTTACATCAGTCATCCCAGGAGGGAGGATTAGAATTTATATCTCTGTAATATTAATTCTATATTTCTCACTCAATCAAAAGTTGTTTGTCCGATTTCCCTGGTGATATGCACAAACTTGGGTACATCATGATATTTTAAAGGCATTTTGTTGTACAGTATTATTGATTTAGTTTAACTGTAAATACATGAATCAATTTTAGTATGAATCTTTTCCCATAAGACTTCAACCTATGAGACTCTGAGTGCATCTATTTTTTGGTGAGATAATATACATTAAGCCTTATGTACAGATAGTGTGACACCATGACTCCTCTAGCCTCTAAACTTACTGCTGAATGTTACAACTATTATTTTTTTCAGGGTTGTTGTAGCAGCTGGGAGGTATATCTTATCATATGATTAGTTTCAGCTCCCAATGTTAAGGGTTTAACTTGGATGTTCAAACTATAGACTTACTGGGAGAAATATGAGTTACTTGGTCAGATCTGGTCATAAAGTGGGATTTTAGGTTCAATCCATCAAAAAAAAAAAAATTCACATAACATTTTTGTGCACCTTTCTTTTTAAATTTGTATGGAAATATAAAATGCACGTTCTGTACTAATGGAATGAGTTACTACCAGACATGGATTAATTACATGGATAATGTAATCAGTTACAATTGTGATTACTTAGTTATTAATTGTAATTACTTAAACGAGTTATTAATTGTAATCAATTATAATTACAGTTTGATTATCCCATGTCTGGTTATTACTGCTGTTACTGTATTGTCATTTAACACTTAACTTTAACATCTACTGATGAAACTAACTTTAGTTGTTTGTGTATAAGTTATTCTTTTAACAAAACTTCTCAATGCCAAAGATACTCTTGCAAGATTCTGTTGATAACTAGACTAATGAATAACCAACGTTTTTTTCTTCTCTTCCTCGTCTTGGGAAACACAGTAAAGTGGAAAAAGAAAAAATTAACCAAAGGAAAAAGAAAGTGCATAGGACAGACCTGAGTAATAAAGACAAATATAACAAAATAATTGAAACCCCAGAAAATTCAGTCATTGTGGAGGAGGAAGATACCAAGTGTGAAAGGATAGTTTATAAAGATGAGGAAGAAGAAAATATAAGAAACAATGGTGATGGGAAACCAGAAGCAGATGTAGAAAAAGATAAAAGCATCAAGGATGTTTTTGATTCTAACGGTGGTCTCATTATTGATAAAACTAAAACGTGTGAAAATAATTGCGACGATGAGAGTGACAATGAAATTTTAAATGAACTTCAGTACAATTGTGAAAGTGAAGAGGATTTAGACATTCCTACCGAAGAAAACTTTCTCAAGTCTTCTACATCGATCAGTGGTGATGATGAAATTGTGGACCTGAATTTTGGCCGACCCAGATCAGTCCATTTTGAAGATGAGAAATGGGAAGGGGGAAAGTATAAGATAAAGAAGGAAAGGGAAGGCAAATACATAGATTCCTGGGGAGACCTGGACAGTCACACACTACACAACTCTCATCCTTTTGCTAAACTAGAAAGAGATTTTGAAATGAATGGAGGCATTCCATTTTCAGGTCCAGGTAGATTACATAATGTAAAAAGTGCTAACAGGGAGAGTGTTAGGGAAATTTTTCGTCGTAAGCGAGAGGAAGCCGGGGATTATGTAGATCAAGATAGTAGAAGAAGAGTATCATCAAATGAAAGAAAGGGTGAAGGAAGTGTTAATAATGTAAAAAACGTAAGAATGCAATCAAGATCAAGAGAAAGAGCACATAAAGAGTTGAGTGATAATGTTAGAGGTAGTGAAGGAAGAGGTAGAAAATCGTCTGATTTAGATAATTATTTAAATTCTGAGAGAAGACAGCACGTATCTCGGTCAAGGAGTCCAAAAAGAGAAAACAGGTATTCTAAGAAAGGGGTGACTCTAGTGCCAGTAAATGGTGTTGACAATAGTGAGGGTGTTGTGATATCAAGAAGGGATTATGTCATGTTTAAATCATTAGTTGGAACTCAGAGTGGGAGAAGTGAGAAAGTTACCACAGATGACTGGAAAGCTCCTGGCAAGACGAAGAAGCTTGGCCCGTGCAAGTCAGGAAATCAGAAAAGGTAACGCTTAGTATTGGAATGGTGAAAGCAAACTTAAAATTTGAGTTGATGTAATGTGCTGATTTTATTTTCTTATTTTGATATAACTTATTCTTTTCTGAATGTTGCATGTTGAACACTTTAATGATAATATTTTGTTGATAAGCTTTTATAAACAGTAAGAGAATGTGTACTCCCTTATAAGCTTTTTCTTCTTAAATGCTTGTTTTTTCCTCTTAACCTAAACCTTATTTTAATTTTTGGATGTTTTCATAAAGACAGATAAAATTCTTGTTCACATCAGTCTTGTTGAATATTTGTGCAATAGTATCTTGGGCTTTGATATGCAAGATTTGCTTTTTGTATGAATTGTAGCATCCTTCTGTACTGCTTTTAAAAACTGCATGTCTAAACTCATTCTAGTTATACAAGTCTCTGTGGACTGAGACATTTATGCACATAATATTATTTGCCCTTCCTAGTGTTGTTGATCATGTTGACAGCATCATTTCTGACAGGCTTATCCTCCCTCTGCAGACTTGGGGAGTCTCCTTATGATCCCTTCTCGGCAGCAGAGCTACAGATGCAAGCGCTGATGGGATCACCCACACCATCTACAAAGAAGGGGTCTAGTCTAGGGGCAGCAGGATTAGGAATGGGGGTGTCTGTGGCAGACTCAGTTACAATGGATGGAACTGGAAGGGAATCTCCTGATTTTGAGTTCAGCATTGGGTTTGCTGATATATCAAAAAGTGGAAGCAATTCAAGGGAGGTATCACCAGAGGTTGAGTTTAGAAAGTCAAGGATGGGTGAAGGATGTTCTACTCTTGGCACTAGTTTGACTAATTTAGATCTGGGATCAACAAAGATGGGTTCTCCATCACCCCGGAGAGCCTCGGACGGCAGATGGTCATGGCAGTCGTCAACAAATAAGTCCTTGAATAATTTAGGTGTTGGGTCCTCGTCTCCAACATTCAGAAAACCTTTATGGTCCTCGAGGGATACTACTGCACGGGAAACTAACAGGTGGTCTTCTCCAACAAGGGAGACTCGTGTTCAGGAAGGCTCTTCTAACAATACTCAAAGGTGGTCTTCACCAACCCGTGATAGTCCGTGTAGGGACCCTGTACCTCAAGATGACCATAGCTGGTCTTCCCTCACACAAGAGATAGACAGATGGTCTTCTCCTAGCTGTGAATCTCATAATGAGTCGACTCCCTTTCATGATACTCACAGCCCCTCCAGCCACCCTCGTAGTTGGTCTGCTCTCACTCGTGACAGTCGTAGTGCTGTCTCTCCCAGCCGTGATGTTCATAGCTCTTCCCCTACCAGTGACAATCGCAGTTCTTCTCCTACACACGGTACTCTTAATTCCTCATCCTCCACTCGTGATACTCGTGATTGGTCATCTCCAACACGTGACGCTCGTAGTGTGTCTTCCCCTCTGCCTGACACTCGTAGCTGGTCGTCTCCTCGTGAAGTCCCTAGTTTGTCATCTTCCACAAATAAAAATGATAGGTGGTCTTCACCAATTCGAGACACCCCTTCTGCTGCCACCCCTTCATCCCCTACGCCCAGGACCACCACAGACAGGTAATTTATTTTGTAATTTTATTATACAAGAAGAAGGAAGTTTTCAGATTCATCTCTAGAAAACTTAGATAACTTGATACATTACCTAATAGATGCTACAGTATAAAAAACTAAATTCTTGACGAGTTACTGTACGGTAATTGTAATTTGAATAAAAATTTGAATACATAAATACTTAATGGAGTGATTTTTGCAGTCATCTCTTGATCATCATACTCTATGACTTGTTTAACTTAAGGTTTCTGAGGGCATCTGTGTATAATATTAATGAAGATCAAGTTTGCTTTAAGTAGATGAGAAATTGATGATTCACCTTCGTGCTCGTAATATAAACTAATTAATACAGTATACCGTATCCATTTTATTGTATGCAGTACGTACTTGACCATAATGATAGTTGTCAAATTTTTTATAAGAAGGGCTTAAGCCTTCACTGTATTTAACAAATATCAGTACGGTAAATGAAAGTTAGGTAATGTTAAAAATACTGTAGTGAATAATAATAATAAATTTAACTTGGCGCCAGTTCGGAGCAACCCATCAATATGCTCTCCAAAAGTTGTGGGGCTTTCCTCTTAAACTTGACAGCCATAAAATAACTTACTTTTAATAAGATTTTATACTTCATTTCTTCATTTTGCTAGTACAGTAATCATAATAAAGGAGCTGTGTCTTCTTGCTAAGTACTGTAATATATTAGATGTGCTGTACACTGGTCCCTCGGTTAACAAGCACAATTCGTTCCAGAAGGTTGCTCATTAACCGAAAAATTTGTTAACCGAAATCATTGTTTCAATGGGTTTTTGGGTAATTGGTTTCAGCTCACCGAAAATTACTTACAAACTAAAAATAAATGCAGTAAAGTACACTTACTTTGAGGTGTGCATGTAGAAGGCTCCTGGTTGATGATGATGATGATGGGAATTAGAATGGGGGTGGAGGAGAAGGGAGAAGAGAAGGCATTGGGGTGGAAGAGAAGTTGCCCCATGCTGCCATTTCACCCATGAAATTTTAGTTCACTTGGTGTAATTCAAGATTATTTTCTTTAAATCAACACTGCACTGCATTATATATTGTCAATGTGTAAAATATATTTCAAAATTACCAATAATTTGACTGGAAACACAGAAAAAAAGCATTTATGTTGAGTCTCAAACAAGATGTTCCTTCCTCTGAACTGGTAAACAAACTGACGCCAAGCTTGGTGTGTTGAGTGGCTGTTTGGCACGCAAAAAACTAGCTTCCTGTACTTCAATTATGTTCAGTAATTGTTAACATGACTAAAAAATTTAATGTAAAACTGTATTGGCGGACTAATACTACAGATGATGGGCAGCCAAATGCAGGCGAAAACATACTGGGAAAAATTTGTAAGGAATTCGTTAACCGAGGGTTTGCTCGTTAACCGAAGTGAAGAATCTTATGGAAGGTAATTCGTTAACCGAAATTTCGTTAACCTGAGGCGCGCATTAACCGAGGGATCACTATTTATTTTGAAGTTGAAAACTTGAAGTAATTTCTTCACTTGATGTGACAAATGTTTTTGAAATTTATCTTTATTATTGTTACATTATGAGTGATCTTGTATAATGATAATGAAGCACTTTTGGCTGTATGGCTCTCACAAACTAACAGTAGACACTGGAATCTGCTGTTAGTTTGCTCATTTGTGTTGCCTCATTGCCTGTTGCTCTGTATATAGTTTGCCACCTCACTCAGGACTAGGTCGGCAGATGTCGCCTGTATGTGTCAATGGGAACAACCATACTACTGTATATTATTTATGAATAGAGACTAATTGTTACATATTATGTTATTGTACGAACATTACCCCTGCATAATCTTAATAGATGTTGCTTAAACTGAAGAGATTGGTATTAGTAATTTTTCTGTTGAACATAATCGTGTGAAAACTGTGCCCTGTATATTGATAAGTTAAAAATATACAGTATAAATGTAAGAGATTTTTTTTGTCTTTCCAGATGGGAGGATACAAATAAAAGTACCACAGTGGCTGGCTGGGGCATGACTCCCTCCTCTGGTGTTGGCTCCCACGGGTCCAGTGCCAACCGATATCTAGAAAACATTTTAGCCAGTACACAGCGCACTTCTTCAACTGTAGGGTCTAATGGATTCTCAGAAAAGGAATCATACACCAGTAGAAACAACAACAACAACACTGGGTTTGACACATTCAGGACCAAACATTCTTCACTTGACAACGATGATGAATCTAGCAAAAAAGATTTTGATAGGTAGGATCTTAATTATTTCTCATTTTTTCTTTGTCTCTTCCTCACAATCTTGTTAAATATTATTATTATATTTTATCTACTGTAATATATTAAAACTACAATATTTATTTATCTTGTTTACCAAATGAGCACCCACAAGAAGTGGCCGTGCCGAGGGAAAGAGGCCAGTGGCCTGTGTAGTATCTCTCCATTGTTCCTGGTAATTTTGAAGCTTAGTCCTTTTCTTAATTCCAAAGCTCGAGCTGATAAACATTCCATAAGTCTACCACCCTCTGTGTGAAGAAGTATTTCCTGTGTTCATTCTGCATGATACCTTAGCGAGCTTGAAGTTCTGTCCTGTTGTGTTGGTGGTACGTGACATCACAAAGAAGTGGCTCGGGTACCCCAGTAATCCCCATATATTAATGGTACAAAATACAACAGTATAGTACTTACCTGTAATACTTTTACTTTTTACTTTTATCTTCTTCGCCACTGATCGGCTTGTTAGCCGCTTGGGCGATCGGTCACGTCTCTAATTAGTTTTCCTTTTCATTTATCTTTTTCACCAAAAGATCGGCTCGCTAGTCGCCCGGGCGATTGGTCACATCTCTGTCACGCACTGTTGGCAAATACTGGGCATGCACTGGCTCCTGAATGTACCTGAACCCGTTCCAGTGTTGGTCAAGTCTTGTCTTGAAAGAGCTCACACTCGGTGCCGTCACAACACTCTCTGATAGATTGTTCCAAGAGTTTACAACCCTCACTCCGAAAAAGTTTTCTGGACTTGCGGCTTATTGTACTTATCAGCTACTAGGTGGTCAGGCAGTTGGTTTGTTCTGTTGTACACTCTTGGCAAATACTGGGCATGTACGGGCTCTTGAATACTACTTGAACCTCTATCATATCAGTGTTGGTCAAGTTTGTTCTGAAAGGAGCTCACACATGATCTTGTCACAGCATTCTTTGGCAGGTTATTCAAAGAGTTCATAAATTTTTCTTTCAAAGAAGTGAGCTCTGGCAGTTTTCTCTACTGATAGTTTCTTTAACTTGAGGCTATGACCTATAGTGGGGCAGCCATTTGCTAGCTCCAATTATCATATGTACATTTGACTGAGTAATGCCATGAGAGGTGCTTATAAACTATTATTAAATCACCCCTTGCCCTTCTGTAGTATAAATTTGGGAATTGAAGATGTTCTAATCTGTTGATAAATGACATGTCAAAGTGCAAACACCAGTTTGGTATAGTAATCCATCTTTGGATGCTCTCAATCAATTAAGTCTTTGGTGTATCTCAGAGACCAAACAGAATTACAGTACACCAAGTAAAGTAGCACTACACTTTTGGAAAATGATGAGAGACAACCATCTAGATATGTGTAGGATCTTCATTCAAGTCTCATCAGTTTATTAGCAAGATTCAGATGTTTGTTTGTTTTATATTTGAATGAAAATTACTGTTCTCACAGTTGTTTTTCAACTTGACAGTGTCGATGGTTCTCAAGCACGTGTGTCAAGTGGCTCTTCATCAGACTCTTCTCTGCCACCACTGTCATCACCATCATCATCAACTTCACCTGCTGGAACTAATAAAGGAGACACTTTGAGTGCATCGACATCAATGCGGTTGCCAAGATTCTGTCATGAATGTGGTCACAAATATCCGGTCTTGTTGGCCAAATTCTGTTGTCAGTGTGGCTCCCGGCGAGTTGGTGTTGAAAATTGAATACTTGTGAGTGACGCTGAAGTACTGTACTGTATGTCCAGCAGTACTGTGCATGGAGAGGGAAAACACAACTCTGTGGCAACGATTTAACTTCTGATGCAATTTTTTTAGGTTTGGGTTGGGGTGGGGGGGGGGGATAAAGTAGCTAACAAGATAATGTAACTACAGCTACATAAATGGAATTTTGACTGCTTTAGAATACAAAACCTTAGTTTTCACAGAAAATATACTAAAAATGTTGTCATCATCACAAACTGAAACTGCTGTAGCCACTTAATTCTAGATTTCCTACAGACAATATACATGTTGAAAACTTCCCTTTATGTAGTTTTTTATTTATTTCTTAATTTTGCATTATATAATATAACCTGCCTATTTTAATCTTAATAGCAGTTTGTTTTATATATTTTAAGAGATATTCTGATAGTGTTTTATAATTACTCTTAATGGTGTCATGTGTTAGGTATACAGTTCAAGTAAAGATGCATCCATAGTATTTTCACCAAGTCCATGACATACTGTACAGTGTGCAGTTCTTTTCTTAATGTCATTAATATTATTTAGAAATACTTTACTGCAGTAGAGTTTTATTATGGTACAAGATGAATAAAAATTAAGCCTTGTTTGACATAGGTGGGATTTATATCAACTGAATTTTATGACAATTATATATGCATATAAGATCTTAGTGACAGATAATACAGTATGAATGTTACTATTTACAGGACCCTACCAAGTCAATTTTGTTTCATTAATGAACATGTTGATTAAGTTGTAAAATTAATATTTTAATTTCTACTTTATATACATTTGAAGAAAATGTTTTAAACTATTTTTATTCAGTAATAAACTCTGAATACATAAGCACTGTCAATCGTAATGAAACATAAGTATTATAACAGAATTATACAAATCTGAATTAAGACTGAAATCTTATTTTCTGATGTACCTCACAGCTAGGATGCTCATGTAATGCCTCACCAGACCTGCAGGTTGGAGGCCCATGTGACTTAAGACCTCAGTGGCTGGGACTGATCTGATGATTAATTATACCTCCCCATTGCATGACTCACTCTGAATAAGATAGATTAGAAACATCAGTCGCCATCAAAGCAGAAAATCTGATAAAACATCACATTAATGTTTACCCTATTACCATTCAGCTGTCATATAGGTCATTTTGAGTTTCTGGCATCAATCTCCATTCAGTTTCAGCTGACTTCCTGATACCCACTGGGGGATGAGTGGAGTCTGAGCCATGCAAGTGCTCACTGGTTCAGGTGGCTCTTAAAACTAAACCAGCTAGAAAATGGGAGGTGGTGATACATGTATGTTCCAACTGTTAATGTAACTCATATTCCAGTATTTTATTCAAGATATTGGGGAAACTGTTGTCCAGTTGATGACCCAGTGCCTCTTGTACCACAGGTATATCATACCCCCTCAGAATGGTCCAGTTTTTTTAACCACTCGTGCAGGTCAGACGAGTTAACCAGGAGTTGAAAACTTTTAGAATCTAAGGGAAACCTAGGAACTCTACAAAATCTGAAGTCCTCAGGCAAGAATACTTTGTTCTCATTGATGAATTCACCCCTATTCAAACCAGATACCCTGTAATAGACCACCTACTTTATACAGGTGACCCGAGTCAGTTGCTGTAAAATCAGTAAGTGAATAACTGAATAACCCTTGCAACTTGCTTACATTAGGTGCACTGCATAAACTAAAGTGTGTCACAGTATATCAGACAAGCAAGTTTGTATGGTTGATTGCATTTTCTAATCTTCATTTTTACGGTTGATGTTCCCAGTCATTAAGGGTTAGAATCTGTAGGTCTCCATCCTTTAGGCCTAGTTAGAGCAATAGGTTATAAAGCAAGATTAGATGTGATATTCCATGGAAACACTGATCATTAATAAAGATGATTACAGTAAATATATTCTTTGTAAATTAATGCAGACAATAATATGAAGAAAGTCTTATTGTAATTAATCAGTACATTTCTTACAAATTTGTATTCATAAGTTATATCTATTAAGAAAATGTTTAAATTGTTGAGCTTATTTTAAGCTTCTGGATGTACAGCATAATCACCAAGATTTTGCTTTTTATTGTGTTACTGGAATTTAAGGTAAAAAAAAGACTTGCTTGTTAATGAGTGACAGATTTCTTCCTTCCTTCAGACCATGACTGAAAATACCAGTACAGTTATCCAGAATATGCATGTGATTTATATCGGTAAACAAATATAATTTTATCACACTGTACGTTATTAGATAATAAGAAAATTAGAATTATGTTGAAATTTGATTGATTTAATACAAATTAATTGATAATAATGTACTAATATGATGTGGCTGATTTGTTTCCATATGCTTTTGCCACACAAACGGGGGATGAAGCTTTAAGAAGGAAAGTTTGTCTAAGTCAGGCTGTCAGATATCTTATTGTTCAGGTGCTAATTAGTTCACCCTTAGTTTATAGATACCGTATAATTTAGTTTTTAACTTCTTATTGTACAGTACCTAGTGACACTGTTGGAGCTGATGATAATGAGGAAAGTTCAATACCTGATTATGTCCCAGTTATAAGTATTTTATTTTTACATTGTGAAGTTTGATGGCATGAAATACATAATTTTAGTGGCTTCCTATACTGTATAATGCAGATCTGATTTGGGGGATTTTTTTATTGTTATTATTATTGTGCCTTCTTTGAGACATTCTCAAAAGAACTGTGGGGTTCAGTTTTATAGGTTTGCTATGAAGCAGTGGCTGTAGTAGTAGTAGTAGCAGTAGTAGTAATCATACTTTAGTAGTAATAGCAGAAGAAATAGTGGAAATTTGGTAGAGAAGTTGAAGAGTTAGTGGCATGAAACCGCTTCTGCTCTTGGGGAATTTTTAGAAATACTGTATTGTACAGTATTTAGTATCATTGTAAAGATTACGGTAGATAATTTTTTCATAGCTAAAATTTTCAGAAACTAGATTATTAATTAAAAATAATAAGAAGTGAAGGCCATTGGTATCTGAAGTATACATATAGAGAAAAAGTGTACATGTAGTTTGAATAACCTATGAATTTTTGGCTTTTTTATTTTTCAGGGAAGTACTGTACTGTATGTTTGAAAAGTAGTTGCATTCTTCTGAAAACTTCCGAGATGAATATCCTTTGTACCCAAAATAGGCACATAGAGGGATTAGTGGTTTAAATGTATTTTTTTGTATCTGGTTCCTGGTACGTTGACAATGAGCTGAAGTTCTCGGACCATTAGGAGAAGAAGGTAAATCGGGCAACTAAATTATTAGGTCTTATAAGAAGGTCGTTAGATATCTTGATGGTCCGTCCCTCGTAACGATCTTCAAGAGTGAAGTGCTTCCCCACCTGGAGTACTGTCAGTTGATTGAAAATGTCCAGAGGGGGGCCACCAGACTGGTGCCTGCACTACGGCACCTCAGCGACCCTGAGTAATTGGAGCACCTGAAATTGCCTAGCTTATACTGTACTGCAGACGAGCAAAGGGAGACTTAATTGAGGTGTATAAGCATCTCGGAGGGCACTACTCGGTCAAGTGTCCTTAGCTGGTGAACGCTCGCCCCACAAGGGGTCACAGCTCAAGGTTGAAGAAGCCGCAAGTCTAGAAAACTGTGAGGGGTAACTTTTTTGGAGTGAGAGTTGTGAACTCTTGGAACAATTTGCCAAAGTGTTGTGATGGCACCAAGTGTGAGCTCTTTCAAGACCAGATTTGATAAGCACTGGAGCAGATTCAGATACATTCAGGAGCCAGTGCTTGCCAACAGTGCATAACAGAGATGTGACTGATAACCCAAACGGCTAACAAGTCGATCAGTGGTGAAGAGGAAAAAGTAAAGTATTTCCACAGATTCTGACCAGGACAAGGCGGAGGCGTTGAACAGATTCTTTTCCTCGTTGTTCACAAGACAGGATGCAAACAATCTTCCTGCGTTTGAAGACAGATGGTTTGACACCATTCTGACCCACATTGTGTTCTCAGAAGGGGGTACTGTATTAGAAGTACATTGTCAAAGCTAAAGGTTCATAAGAGTTCCGGCCCTGACATGGTGCATCCCAGAGTGCTAAGAGAGTTGTGCAACAAGCTTGCTGAGCTCCTGAAGATCCTGTTCTGTAAATGTATTTCTTAATTTATTGCAAAACATGTTTAAAGAAAATTTGGGTATGAAATTTTTGTAATAGCACTTTACTGTTTTCTTAAAAATGATTTACAGTGTCTCGTCTATTTAAGGAAAAAAAATCCACAACATACTCGTACAGTACTGTACAAGAATGTTCATAATGTCTTCAAAGAAACTTAATGATTGTATTTCATGCCTTCTGTGTTTCACTGTTATCAAACCTTGTCTGTTAATGTATTTTGGTTTTGAAGGGGACTTTCAATCAAAGTGAAATTGTAATGTGATTACAGTAATAATTATTTTCAATCATTTGTATTAATTTTTATGTAAACAAATGTGGAATATGTACCCCTGATGAATGTACATTACAGTACTGTACATTATCACCAGAGATCAATATTTTATTATTTAAATACTGAACAGTATAAGTTTACAGTTGTGAAGGATTTTACTGGCCTCAGGTGAGATACTGAGTTCTTGTCCTGTAAGCTGAAGGCCTCATTAAGTACAGTACTTGTGTACAGTGAAACTACTGTATACAGTTTATAAGTTTGTTCTATTGGTTTCATTATTTGATGAGTAAACCAGAGAGACAAGATTTATGTTGGATATTGTAGATGCTGCTGCTGCTGTCTACCTTGTCAGGGACACCATTGAGAGAGAGAAGGCTTCAGGTATAATGTACTGTACTTTTATAAGGAGATTGATGATTTAAGATTATGCCATGTACTCTACTCTACTCTACAGATATTGAAAGAATATACTGTAGTTCCTTTACATACAGTACAGTACTGATTCTCATAAAGATCTCTTTCATTATTCACCACCACACTACATAATGTACAGTTTAGTAAAATAAAAGATTTACAACAGTATGAAGAACTGTTTATAATGCAGTACTGTACAGGTATATGGCATACTGTACTATATTATTAATTGACATAGTCAGTGGACGTCAATTCTAACTTGCCTTATTAAACTTCATTAGTGACATAATCTTAATTATTAATCTTTTAATACTAGTGAGAACTGTATGATATATAAGCTTTAAAATGTAATACGTACTGTACTGTGTATATAAATCTAATTGGATGCCAAATATTATCATATATTATTTATCATGGTGCTTCAGATCACCAGAAAGAAATGGAAGGCTGTCTGAGTTTTGTCTTGCAGCAAGCTGTTTTTTAAGTATACAATACTTAGTTTATATGAGTATTATGATTAAGAACAGTTATTCCAAGATATCAATCAACTCCAGTATGTCCATAACTGATATCATTCCTGATAGGATTCCATAATATAAGAAAACTTGTATCTGTTAAGTATTCCGTCCAACCAGCTCACATGCACTGAATACTCTCTGGCTTTTAGCTCTTCCGATTGTATTTCATCTGTAATATTATGTTGTATCTTGCCTTGCCTAATGAAATATTAATGAAACATTTTTCTAAATACTGTATCTTACTTGTTAATCCTCGGTATTTATTTATTAGAATTACTCGTTCCAAGTTACTATACTGAAATTGTAAACCTAAAGTAACTTATAGATTCTCAGTTATGGAGGACTCAGGAGACTATTGTGGTGGTAGGCAGATATGTTTCCATACCCTGTCATCCTAATTAGCATATACAAAAGAAGGTAGAAAAAATCTTGGCATTTCGTTAAAAAATATACCGGGTAATTACTGTACATTCTTGAACAGCTGGGCACGACAAATTTCAGAATGAACACTATGGCTCGTGTCATCTCAGAATGGTTAGCATGCCTGGTTGTGAAGTGACTCCATATACAGTATCTTGCTCGTTTTTATAGTATTTACAGGTGAAAAGAAGTAATTTAATTTGCAATAAAACTTCCTCAGAGATCAATGTTCAGATTTTTTCGTTGGTATTGTCATGTTGTACTACCCTTAGAGCGTTCAAGAACAGTTTGTGGCGAGTGTACATGTAGTAAGATATTGTACAGCATACTGTACTGTACAAGTTAAGGGAGAGAAAATAGCATACTCTCCATAGACATGTTGCCTGCTTATAAGAAATCGTCTAAAAGTGCTGTAAAAGATCTCCAGATTGTCATGATAATGGTGTGTGAGAGTGATTACGTGGTGTGTGTGTGGATAGTTACAACATGGTGTGTGTGGATAGTTACATGGTGTGTGTGTGTGTGGATAGTTACATGGTGTGTGTGTGTGTGGATAGTTACAACATGGTGTGTGTGGATAGTTACAACATGGTGTGTGTGTGTGTGTGTGTCTGAGTGACAACATGATGTGTGTGTGGATAGTTACAACATGGTGTGTGTGTGTAGATAGTTGACAACATGGTATGTGTGTGTGGATAGTTACAACATGGTGTGTGTGATAGTGACATGGTGTGTCATAGTGACAATGTGGTGTTTGTGATAGACATGGTGTGTGATTGTGACAACATAGTGTGTGTGAGTGTGACAATATGGTGTGTGTGATTGTGACAATATGGTGTGTGTGATGGTGACTGCTGTGTGATAGTGACTGTGGTGTGTTTGTGTGATAGTGACAATATGGTGTGTGTGTGATAGTGACAACATAGTGTGTGGGTGACAACTGTGATAGCAACAGTATGGTGTCTGTGATTGTGACCAGTGTGATAGTGACATGGTGTGTGTGATAGTGATAATATGGTGTATGATAGTGACAATGTGGTGTGTGATTGGTGCCTGGTGTGTTATAGTGACAATATGGTGTGATAGTGACATGTGTAATATACCTTTTCACATATCCGTTGAGACATTGTTACATAACTATTTGACAAATTTCATAACTGAATGACAGAACACATACCGAATGACAATCTAAAATAGCTGTTCGTTCATGTTAACGGAAGTGATTGACATAAGTTATGAAGTTGACAGACGTGAACAATAAACCGACAGTCTACATATAGTTTGAGAATGTTACAATTGGAGAATGACATACCACCAACAGTTATTTTAGATTGTCATTCGATATGTGTTCTGTCATTCGGTTATGAAATTTGTCAAATGGTTATGTAACAATGTCTCAACAGATATGTGAAAAGGTGTAGCAGTGACATGGTTTGTAATACTGTAGTGACAGCATGGTGTGTATGTGTGATTGTAATATGGTGTGTGATAGTGGCAACATGGTGTTTCTGTGGGATAGTGATGTAATGGAGGTGTATCAGTATAATAGTACTTTAAAAGTGTGGTGGCCATCTTGGATTTTTCCCATTTAAGGGGCTTTAGGGGAAATATTCAACTTGGCAGATTTGTGAAGAAAAAAAAAAGGTTTTTGTGGTAAGCTGAATATTTTCCCTAAAGCCCATAAATGGGAAAGATCCAAGATGGCCACCACATGAATTGGGAAAAATCGAATAAGACCTATAGAGTATATCTTCGGTAATATATTAAATAAAAACAAATGAAGTATCTGTTTCTATGTTTCCACATAATAAATTAATTCCTACCGTTATTTATTTAAAAAAAATGCCTAGAAATCTTCATTGGACGAATTTTGCTTTTTCTAAGCTTTGATTGATATAATTTTTGTGTGATATGGTGGATACAACTTTTTGCATCAACGACTACTTGGTGTAGCAAGGCATTAGCAATTGATCATACACATTCGCAAAACACAGTTGTGAAAGGTGATGATGGATGGACATGGTAGGAGGACCAACTTGTGAGGGTGATAGATAACTTAGAACAGTTTTGCCTTGAAAGCAGCACCGACCACCAGACTTCTAAACACCACGAGCATGTGTTGTTTACAGACCACATTTGCTCACGAAACCTGGCACCTTGTTGAAGTAAGTGAAAACGTAGGAATTCTAGTAATTAAAGAGAATCACGACCCCTTACTTCATCCTTATTATCTTACTGTCCTGTTTACTGTATTTATTTTCACTCTGTTGTCTTGTGTTCTTCTCAATCACGACTTGACGTTGATAAAGGTGCTTCAACATTCATTACTACCGTCAAAACGCCCTTTTTATGATATGCCTCCTCCTCTTCCTAAGGCGTTCATGTGAAGATGTCAACGTAAAAAAAGAAGTCGTTGCGTAGCCTAGTTGACTATACTGTACACGTCCAGCTGTGTCGTAAGATAAAGATAGCGATGGATATTGGGATAAATAAACGTTCATCGAGATGTAAAGGTGAAAAAAAAAACGAAATTAACAAATATAAATGTTATACGTTAGTTTCAGTGATGTTATTTTTTGGATGGTGATGCTGTACGTTTTTATTTAAGTTTAACCAGTTAAGAATGTTCATTGTACTAATGTTCGTGGAACTGAGCCCTGTAAGGTGTGTGTGTACATGACTAAGCCCTCGACAAACAGTGGGGTCAAGCAACTTGTTCATTCACCTTTCTCATCACTCAAGCATTCCCATTGTTTCTTCTTTTGCTTCTTTTTCCTCTTCTTGTTTTTGCTCGTTGTCTTCTTTGCCTTCGTCTATCACTTTTCATAATTTTTCTACTTGTTTCTTGAGCTTGATCTTTTACTTCTCTTAGTCCCCCCCCCCCTTTATTTATGCTGTGTTCATATAATGCTGAACTGTAAACGTGCATCGTCTGTATACACCTGAAGCAATTACAAACTTGTTTTTTTAACGGGAATTAGCCCACCCGGGCACAGGTCTATGACGATTTTACTGAAAATTTATTATTATTATTATTATTATTATTATTATTGGTAGTAATAGTAGTGGGGGTAGTGGTAATGTATCTGCAACAATTTTAATATTCAACTGTGACCTAAGAAACCATATTGTCCATAACCAAAATATTATCATATCTAGGTGAGTGTTGTCACCCTTCCTTAGTGCCTTCCGGTGTGATAGTGGGTCATATCCGCCACCAGGAACGGAAGCTTTTTATAACAGAGGCGTCACGTCCCCAGATACTCCTAATAGATTGAGTTTAATAACGATAATTGAAAAGAAAGTTCTATATGAGTGTAAAAAATTTTGTCCCAGGGAGGTGAAGGGTCCAGGTCCTTAAAAGGTTCGTACCATAAATATTCCTCATATACAAAGATCTAAGAACACACCGGACTGGTTGACGTAAACCAAAACACAAAATAACTTCCAAGAATAAAGTAAAAGTTACACCTACCATACACTCCATAGTATGCAAACCAGATAATTTCAACGTATCTGGTTAAGATAGAGTCGAAGTCTGATTTTGATATTGTACAAGCAAATGCCTCAAGTTTTAGGCGCATGTTATATCTTTACATACGAGGAATGTTGATCGTGCGAACCTTGGATAATCTATTCCCAGTCAGCAACACACCTCTCCCAGGGCGTCTCCTACTGGCCCCCTCCCTGCTTCTTCTTGTTTATATAAAAGGTTAGAGGCACTTGGGAAAACTCTCCTCCGTTTCTTCCCCATATCTGCGTGTGCCTGTGTGTGAGCGTGCGTGTACGTACAAGTATGTGTGGGATTGGATCAGTATAACAGGTGTGTGTAGGTGTAAGGTGGCATATGTGTGTCTGTCCATGTGAGGAAGCGAGGTGTAAGTGATGAGGGTTTGAGTACATGTCAGCACGCATATATGGTGAGAACGAAAAGAGTGTTATCTCGTTAAGAAGTATTATTTAACTTATAATAGATGGGAACAAGACAAATTAAGATAGACTAAGGAAGAGTTTGTGTTCATTAGATTTTTTTTAGCAAATAATGAAGATGTCCAAGATGAAAAAAAGGACATCCTATCTTGCCATAAAAAATTGATACTATGAAGAACGTATAATGGCAGCTTTAATTTACGAGTCTTTCAAGAGGCATAAATTGTGATTAGATGTATTCATTAACTATCAGCACCTAGATAAACCTGGTGAATGAATAGTCAAGTATAAAATTGTGATAGAAGATGAAGAAAGAAGTTGTGTTGGGGCTAGGGTGGATGAGAAAATGATGTTATAGGTTGTGTCTGGTGACCGAGGAAAAGATTGTGACGGCGTGGTGAACGGTGGTGCTGTGAGGAACAAATACCTAATGCAGTGTGATTCTCATAATTCGAGATAATTATGCGTATATTTCATTTCTAATTTACGATGGTTTCATAGAATTATCGACTTTGAAAGACATCCACTCGAATGCATCACAAAACCCCGCTCGCTTGGATGCACAGAGATGGGCGTCGGCGTCACTGGTTTCAGTCTCCTCCCAAGTTATCAAAATGTGTGTACCTTGAGGGAATACTGTATATATCGCCAAACATCTGCTTTATTTCTCAAGATATAGTCTCCTTCCAGCCCAAAAAATTAATCTGATATCTTAGCAACATGAAGTAAGAACTATAGTGGGTGTGTTTATATCTGTTTATCCAGAACAAGGTAGAAATGTTGACCATCTTGCCAAGAGCGATGATACCAACCACCATTGTCTGGGTCTATGGTATTACTGGGGTTTATATAAGGTAAGAAATTAAGACAGCCGTAGTGTGCATGGGGTAGTGTACATCAGGCTGTTTTATACTAGATATGAATGTTTTCTTTATTTTTGTGTAAGGCATCATCTTCTCATTGTTAACTTTACACTTTACACATTAATGACTTGCACGTAGTTTCCACAAATATTTACCGAACCTCGAAAATTTGATGTGGTTTACTGTATATAAACCACGTTGTGTCTATTAAACGTCTTGTGACTTTTTTATTTATCTTGTTTGTTTTATATTTTTTAATAAATTTTAATCTCCACATCCTGTATCTTACTCACTGTGTGTGCGTGCGCGCGCGCGCAAATATCACGGGTTAATTTACAAATACACTACTGTAGTATGTTACAACACCTACTTTATCCACCTACAGTGTATCAGCGTCTACATAACTAATTATAAAGATGAAATAAGATTCGATTTAGTTTTCTTGTACAGCACAGGCAATTTTGAGACACGAGAGTTTACCGCATAATTCACTCAAAGTCGACTAAAAGAACCTTGGGAAGTCATGAATACTATACAGATGGATCACAGTGAAGAGGAATGAGAGGAGCGCCAGTGTGTATATATTGTTTTCATGCAAGGTGATCGTTTTACCATTAGTAACTAAGTATATGTCTGCCATATATTACAGTAATACGGTGAGCGATACAGCAGGGCAAGAGTTCAGTCTCATTACTATTTGCCAAAGTTCAGGATACATGGCTGAATCTTGGCAGGGTGAGACCCAGAGTGAGTAGCAGTAAGGTGTAAAAAAAATTAATCTGGGACTCCTGTAAAATTTTCCTACTGTCCAGCCTTATGACCGCCCAACACAACGACTACGACCAATATTTAAATCCTCTTTTTACGTCTCTTCTATAGTTTTCTTTCCTTGACTCTGAAGATAGACATCACTGTGTATATAGTTATCTGGTGTTTACCTTGATAAGTGTTGAGGATGGAGTTTCTACCACAGTAGTGCTTTAGGCAACCAAATTTCTGAAGAATTACCTGGTCAACCAGGATGTTGCTGCCGGCAGACCTCAGGCCAACATAACCACTACAGCCCGCTTAATGACGCACAGTTTGCTGGCACTTATTCGTTACCTCTCTCTAAAGCCATTACTTTTCTGCCACATATCATCAGCATTCATCTTTGTCGAAGTGATGTATACCTTGTTGTGCTCTCTGGGCAGTCTGGGGGTGTCATCTCGTCAAACATTAATACTCCCATATCCTGTACTGACTCCCTTGCGTCCGATGACATATTTTGTCTAATATTGCTTCGTGTTTTGATTTTCTTCATTCTGATTGTACGGAACAAGTAAAAGTTCTCTCTAATGAGCATTATATTGATTTCTTCTCTCATTTGAAGATCTGGGTGATGACCAATTGCAAACACTGAAGTGTTTCCGCAGGTGTAATTTTCTTCACTGTGACCGAGGTCTGGAGTACTGAAAGTAACAAGGGGCTGAGCCCGGTGCCCTGATAAACAGAACTTTGAAACTGACAACAACTCTGTGATATATTTGTTAGAAATTTAATACATTATCAACTGTCTACATAAAAGCAATGCCTTCGTCTTCATGTTGTCTATCCATAAAAGTGAAGCAAGATTCTCATTCTCCCTTCGATAACCTGTGGTTAGTTTTTATTGTTAATTAGTTCGTGTGTTTGTAACAAGTTTGCGCCTTACCATAACATTATGTGAGTTATACGATATTTAATTTTCTCTCTGTTGAAGTATTTGTTAATATTCTCTGTACCACAAGTGTTAAAGTTTCTCTTCGGCGGTGGGACTGACTTTGGTGACACCTTGCAACTCGCCCGCCAGGATGTTCCAGATATGACGCTGTGATAACGTCATCCGCACTCACCTAGAACTCTACAGGAATAAACCATTTTGATTGTTAAAGATACGCTGTGAGTCCTGATAATTTTTTCTCTTTTCTATTTCATATTAACTAGCTTACCACTGGAATAAAACTGTTTGTAACTTTAAGGATTATTAACTTTGGGTGTACATATAACATAATTTTAAATGCGGTCAGTGTTAACATCGGATGACAACTTTACAGGTAAAGTACAAAGTCTCAGGTGTCGTCATAACTGCCGTCATTTGTCAACTGGTGGAAGTTGACCAATTTCTTGGTCCGCTCCCTCACTTGTGTCCTCATTAGACAACTTTTTTTTGTGGGGCATGTCAAATATGTTGTTTAGTCATCAAAACTACATTATGCTGGGGATGAACCCAGTAGCAAGACCACATAATACAATTCATAAAACCACTCGGCCGCAACTGGCAGAATGTCTTGAACTAATTGGAGAATCGGATTTAAGATGGTCGCGAATGATGGAAGTTGTGTTGAAACCTAAACGTTAAAAGTTTACTTCGCATTATACTTTATATTGGTGTTGTTAACTGTTTACATCCTGTATAAATATGCACAATAATTAACAGGACTCATGCTGGTAATCACTGGGGAAGAAAATCGTGAACATATAAAAGTTTTTTCACTATTAGGATCTTCGTGGTATAATCAAGATGAAAATGCTTTGCTCTGTCCGTGTTTCTATTTCCCAGCCCAAGTTGTCGTGTGTGTGTGTGCAAGCTTTAGGGCAGCGTATATTGACAAAACAAAAAGACTCTCGGCTAAATGTAACCACGCCCACCAACATGATCACCCGTTCTCATACGCGAACATTTCAGTTTTTAAGATCAGAAACGAGACACTTATCCACCATGGAAGGTTTTATTTTTTTCAATATCGACTTAAACCTATTATCAGTGTTATGGCTTCCTGTGAATTACTGTGTTTCTCGAATTAAGGTTTGTGTGCCGCTATCATTATTCTTTCACCTCTTCACTTTTGTGTGTTTAGTGTGTTAGACATTGTTAATCGATTATCTAGTCTCCTGTTTTTATCCCGTCTTTGTTTACATTGATTTATTGTTTGTGATTTTTTTATATTCAATATTTTTTTCTATTATTAATATACACAAATACTTTAGAACTTGTCCCTTAATGCTCTACTATGGGTGCAATAGATAATGTTTCGAAACATTAGGCGATTGTATTAAACAACTCACTCTTGATGCTTGTGGTTTCCTGTGTTCCTCTTCATTATCAAACTACGTTTTCCACTCCCGCGCCTGTGTATGTGTGTGTGTATCACACTTAATAAGGATAGTCGCCGATTAAACTTTAAGAAGCAACAGATGTTTTTGCCAAATAAAGATAATGGACGTGTTTTCGTTTATGATAAATTTGCAGTTTCATTTAAGACGTCGTTAACCATCATAAGATAGCCAAATTGTAGTAGCTACAGTAAGTTAGCTTATGTATGAAGCTATTCATGTATATGATCCTCTATGGCCAGTCAGAAGTTAAAAACAAATCGTTATTTCACAATTATCCTCAATTAGCGTAACATTATGTGCCTCACCCATTCCTTTTCCAGGCGCCTTGTGGAGCACATGCTGAGGGTACCTGGGTACTAATTATATACGGTATGTGCAGTACCGTAATTAGTTCATGGCTAACGTCTGAGTTAGCACTTATAAGTTCATATATGGAACATAAATGAACAATCACTGGTGTAGTAAACAAAGAAACAGGAGAGGTACACTGATGCTTCAGCCAAACTTATAATGTACGACCAAGGAAGAATCCTTCAGGCCTCCGATAGCCTTTGATACTGTCACATTATAATGTCCATCATAAATCTAAGCCTGGATTATTGTAGTATCATTATATTGCTAGTGAGTGAATAAACCTGTCTGTGATGCTTTTTCCGGTCACGAGACACAGGTGAAGGAATAATAGTTTATTGCCTCATGGCTTCCAAATAGGTCGTGTTGACGAGCAGTGGGCGGACAAGTGATCCCTCTTCGTAATGCAGCTGTCGTGCCCATGAGGTTCCCCACCAGTTAGTTACACGAGTTAAAAAATCCTTCCTTGTATAAAGTTGCATATAGTTTCCTAACAAATTAGTCCTGAATAGTGGATAAAAAGAAAAACTATATGATCCTTGTCCAAACCATTATGAAAGAAACCCGTGTCGGGAACAAGTTGGGTCGTGATTGCGGTATTGGAGATAAAAAAAAATCTGTAATTCTTCACTGCATATGAAGAACTTAGAAAATAAACACATTTTCTAGGTTAAGAGGAGTTGTAGTAATAGCAAGCCATGGCACAACCTTCGCTGACCCACATAACACAGGAAGGAAGACGTTATTGAAGAGTTTGGTAACTGTTACAACCTGGGCGCAATGGTTTGTTGGCTAATTGTCTAAATACAACGAAAGAGAGAAAGGCTGGAAACAGATAGAGAGAGAGAGGGAGAGAAAGGGGAATTAAAAAAGACGGTTATTTTTTCAATTATTAAAAAAAAAAGCTCGCGTGTGTGCGAAGGGGCAGGTTAGAGAGGGGGATAGAGGTATGTGTAGGGGAGCAGGCTAGGGAGCGTGGTGGAAGTGTGTGTGTGGGGGGGGGGGTGGTAGAGATATGTGTGTAGGTTCGGAAATGTGGTGGGGTTCCATCATAGTGGAGAAGGGAGGAGGGAAGACAGCTGCCTCCAGTCTGTGGCAGGGTGTGTAGTCACCCGGGCGTCCCACGCAAGGTCTCCACCAACACCCGGGGTTACTAGCGGTCAAGAGCGCCCGCCCAGGGAGCAAGGTTGACCAGGGGCAACAGTTGTGGCTCAGTGTGTGTGTGGACTTGGGAGAACCACAGCACAACATGGCTCTCTCTGCCATGCTATTTTCGGCTCTTTTTTTGTGAGTACAGTACTTGTTTTTTTTAATTTATGGGTGATTGTTAAAAAGCATTTATGTGATCCGACTGTACAGTATCCTTTAAGGCAGTTCAGTTGTTTATAAGATAATTAGAATTAGTGTTTTTTTTATGTTAACCAAAAGTTGTTATTATCGCACGTGAAGGTCGACATGTTGACTGAGCTAATGAACGCATGTTGGACACTTGGTGGATAGTA